TATATATATATAGAAATCAATTTGATCAATGCATACCAACATTACTAAGAGAAAAAGCGCGAATTTTTTTTTTCTCCTGAACTGTAGTTTCCCTCCACTTTCTTTTTCTTTTTTTTCTTTCTAATTTCTCTTTAAATAGGTGACGTCCAAATAAAACTACAAATAAAAATTCTTACCAAAATAGGAATTTTGTTACTCCATTCCAAATAAGAATCCCTTAATCAATAAGAATTCATACCAAAAATGAAAAATAAGACTCCCCACTAAGGAAGACTATACCTCCATTCAAGTTAAAATAAGAATTTCCACCAGAATTATGTAAAAATAAAGTGGTCGAAAATTAAGTAACAAAATTAAATGACAACCACAATTAACAGATATTAACGTAAATTATTATTTTTTGATAAATTTTAAAAAAGTTATGTTAAGATGCTCACACTACAGAGTAATTTATCATGGTACTAAACAAATTTTGGATACTTCTATACCTTTATTTTGTACACAAAATATTTTTTAATAAAGATCTTTTTTATCATTAGGGACACGACATCTTCCGCATAGAGTGTAACATCACCTATATAAAACACATTAGTGACATTTAATGCTCTATATGGGTGATGTTAAACCTCATGTAGATGAAACCACACCCCTCCTAATACCTTTACTAAAAAAACTTCATGTACAAAACAAAAATATATAAATATTCAAATCTTGTTGAATACAATGATAAAATACTCCATAGTGTGAACACCTAACATAACCCACTTAAACTAATAGTATATATTTTATGTTCATGTCCTATTTTTTAATAGCATATCTATTATTTTTATTACCTATTTTATACATATATGAGCTCAAAGCATACTTCACAACATAATGCACATCTAATAATTTAAATAAATAAAATGACCAAAATAACTAAAATACCCTTAAAATTCATACAAGATATTTTGGTAATTCATTGTCACTCAATGATTTTTTTCTTTTTTTGAGTAAGGGAGAAAAGAGCCCCTACCACCTAAAACATAACATTGCAAATCATCAAGCGCTGACCAATTAAGCCCGAGCTCTTTTTTAACATATGCTTAATGATTAGAAGCACGAGCACACAAAATTTGACCTAAATCTGATGTACCAAAAGGAAACAAAAAGTATAGAATTGAAATATTGAGGGAAAGGGCTGGGGTCGTGGCAAAAACTACTAACCATTTAAAAAACGGATAGGAGCTTATATTCCCCATTGAATTACCTCAAAAAAAAAAAAAGGAAATGCTCATGAAAAAGGGACAAGAATATAAGCTATAAAATACTGAGGACATGTTTTAAAATTCAAAAAATATAAGGGAGATAAATTAAACAAAATTTAAACAGAAAAAAAATTGAGTACATAAACAGAGCATAGAATCCGAACAACTTAACACTGTCTCCAACTTGTTGATACAGAGAAATAAACGAAAACATTTTACTCCAAAATTTATGGGAACCTTTTTAAATCTTGGTTCCATCCTAACCTGTTGAAACAAGAAGACTCTAGAACCTAAAGCCTTTTAAGACTCTCCACCATCTCGACGATATGGCACATAGCGGTGATCCTTCGAAGCATTTCTGCGCCTCTTTTTCGCCATGAAAGCTTCGAGCTTACCGGCCACCTGCATCAAGCACTCAAGATCAAAATAGAGAAAATAAGCAACTCTACACATTTGTCCAACAGTAGCCTTTGAAAGTTTGTAAAGTTTCTTGCGAGGGCAGACGACTCCTGCCCTTGTTTTAAGGGGTTCTAGGAGTCGAAATATATTGTAAGGCATTGCAAATCCATTTCTGCCTCAGATCTATGAATCTGAAGCTCCAAAACAGGTGCAAATCTCAGTCTCTGAAGAATTGAAATGAACGATCCAGAAAGGAGGAAAATATGGACCATTTTTTTAAGGCTGAAACACATAATTTTTTTTTTCCAGGTGTTGGTCGAGATGAGACTTGCAAAGTTTTACATCCAAATCCCATCTTTGAGATGTTGGAAGGTGGACGCACTAGAATGGTCACATTGGTGGACACACTAGTACCCTAGTCTTCAAATTTCAATGCTTGGGGCCAGATCGGCGACCCGGATTGTGCATCTGGATTTCCAATCCAGTTCGGCAGATCGAAATCCAGACCGGCAATGCGGTCTGTCATTAAAAAATTAAAAAAAGTGAGGCCGGTTCTAAAGGTTTTGTTAGAGGACTGGTCAGAACTGCCCGTGTCATACGGGAACTGGCCAGTTCCTGATATTTTGTGGGAACCAGTTCATCCCCAACAATTCCTGATCCAGATCGGCCGTTCCGATTCGGAGCAGCATTTTTTAAAACATTGCTTGGGGGGAAGCTCATACCTTCAGATCATCATACTTCTCAACAAGCATTTGCTTGCGCAATTCAGCTGCACAAACAACAAATCAGTTAGAATTTTCCAAACATATCCCTACCACAAGAAAAAGGTTGCTTTCAGCAAGTTTCTTCATAACCTGAAATGCTGATGAATATGTTTCCCCAGGTGTGCAGCTCAGTTAACATGCACCAATACTTGGAAGGGATCATTTTTGCACATGGTAATTTTCACCACATGCTGTAGGTAATCCAATAGTACACACAAAGGCAAAATGCCCTATTGGAGTTCACATTAGCACAAAAAGAAGCTTATCGAGCAGGCTAACCACCATTGAGTGGTATTCTAGCTTTTGCACTTGACAGATGACAAAATTATGAAGGGTATTAGTAGTTTTCATCCAGAAGTTTTGGAGCATGTTAACAAAGTCCAGATGCTATTAGCAAATCCCACATGAAAGAGAGAATTGTGGTAAAGAACAGCTAATATGGAAGACTTATCAAACTCACATTTTTTGAGATAGAAGGGCCGCTTCCCTTGTTTTGCGGCCTCTCTTTCCTTTTTCTTGTGCTCTGTTAATTTTTCAACATGGGACCTTTTAGTGGACAGCACTTTCAGCTGGCGATCCTACACAAAAAAAGAATACTTCATAATCCTGATCATATGTTTTTTTTTCTAATGAAAATATACCATGGTGCAGTTTGCAAACATTCCACTGCACATCACCTCAACCGTCTGTTTTTTACATTAAATGGTTGACGTGACACATTCCTCCACTGAATATCCTTTTTTGACGAAGGGGCATTCTTATCAGCTATCTATTTTAGGAAATGGACTGCTGATGTGAAGTAGAATTTCTGTTTGTAAACCACAGCAAATATCTGCCGTTGGTCACGAATAACCAACAATGGATGCACTAGCTATGTATTGCATATCACACAACCCATGTCCAGTTACTTTTCCCAGACCAAAAAAAACAGGTGAAATGGGAGTACTTAAAAAGTAAACTGCAATTAATGAAGTGCCTGATCGTGCATGCACCAACTTACAATCCAAGAAATGTGCTTCTTTATTTCACCAGCAGCACTTGGGTCCTTTGTCTTCTTGAGCACCTTTTGCAACTTCTGGGGAAAGCAAGAATTGACATTATTACATCAGTGCGACTCTACCTTTATGAAACAAATGTGTTCCCGAATAAACAGAAGGCCAAATAATATGGGAAACATACTACAAACAAATGGACTATAGAAACCATAGTCCTTTGGGGGTTTTAACCGACGAATTGATGGACATTGATGGAGGGGGTCCAGTAATGCTTAAGTCAAACTCTCTTCCATCACCATCAATCCTTTCATTGAACAATGATGGCCCCAATGAGCGATGTTTTTCTATAGTCCATTTGTATAGCATCCTTTCCCATAACATTTCCATCAAAAACAAAAAAAAAAAAAATTGCATAAAGTATGAATACCTCTCGTTCCTGAGGAAGTTCAACCTCAAATAGAAAATTGTATCTCTTTCTGAACCTGTTGGGATGAAGCATGAATACATATTCAGTACCATGAACAACAAAGGAATTGAATTATCATACCACTAACATAATTAGCATACAACTCAGATAGCCACATTGAGAATTTTTTTTCATTTTTGAAAGTGGCAAACATCATGAGATTTTTGCAATTAATCCCCAAACATCTTGTGATATTCCTTTAACCAAGTTGACTAATTCAATTTTATGTATCAAGATTTAAGTCTTCTGACCATATAGGAACTAGGATCTTGATTTTTATATCAAATAGCCAGTAAAGCAAAGTAATAGATGAGTTCAAGGGCTACCATCAAGACATAATTCAAGATACTGAAGGAGGAACTTGTAGTTCCCCGCACTCTTTGCACAGACAGTCAAAGCACAAACGGAGCTTGTTCTTCCGCACTCCCTTGCACTCTTTGTATTGGAAGACTGGAACACATATTTCAAAAAGGTTCATAATGCCTGCTTTTTCATATTTGTTCAAAAAAGAAAATAAAAAAATTCCAAGAAACATGCTGATATAACCAGTAGAAATACAATAAGAAAAGAAACCAACTTTGTTTTGGACAATTTGCGATGAGAATCTGATGGCCAAAACTCAAAGCAATGCTGATTGTTTTGCATTGAAAACTCTTCCTCCCTTTGTGCAACCCCTAACCGTGGCTTTCTTTTTCATTTATTTTCAATCTAGATTTAAGAAAATCACCCCTCCTAACCAGTAAAGAGGGATAAGTCTCGAATGATGATGATGACCCTTCCTAAACGGTTAGGAAGGATGATTTGGTTCAAGTGAAAGACTCTAAAAAAATAAAGGTGACACCGAAAGGACATGGATGGAAATAGTGAGATAAGATATGGTGACTTGTGGTCTGAAGGTAGCGGAATGGCGAAATAGGTTTCGTGCAGCCGACCCCAAGTAGTTGGGATAAGGCTTGGGTGATGATAATAATGAGTTAAGAAAACCACAAGTATCTCTAAGGCCTTTTCCCCAAAGCTCTTCCTCTACAGCTCTTTTGCCATAGCTAGTCAAGATCAAAATTGTAAACCAAACTTTATTCATTAGAAATGAAATTTCTCACATATGATTAGCAGCCAAGCTCATTGAATAGTGCCCCCCCCCTTTCTCTCTCTCTC